TATCATAGTAAAACTAATACCTTCTCAGCTTCGCATCGAAGCTAAAAATGGGTCTATAAAAATAAATATATTTTAATTTATAATTTTAAACATAAGGAGAAATCTATATTATAAATCTTATGTCAGACTTACCTTTAGTTCGAATGAGACTTATTTTGGTTCTGCCAAAGAGTAAAGTTAAATAAATGTTATAATGATTTTCTGTGTAAATCTTTAAAAAATAAATGTTTTTATAAACTCTATAGTCCTGCGTCGAAATACAAGGATTTATAAATATAAAGCTTATACCGCCTATGCTACTAATTTAAAATAATTAATTACAACTTAAAATGAGGTTTTAAGCACAAAGCTTAATTAAATTTATATAATTAAAATTTAATTCTAATGAATTGAGAAATGTTGGGGATAGTTAAATAAATATTTGCTGAAGATAAATAATTAATAAATCTTACTGAGTTGATAATAGCAAGGCAAGTAGATTGGAATGACATGTGTTTAGGTTAAACAAACATTTAAATAAAATCCGACCATGTTAATTTAATTTCAGTCCCAAAAGGGTTAATTACTTTTTTTCAATTTGTAAAAGCATATTTTTTATGTTTAGTTTCANGAAATAGTAATAAGTTAAAAACTTTTTAACGTAAAATATATTGATGGGTTGATAATTATAAAATTTATTTATACATTTATTAGGTATTATAATGTTATAAAAAGGATTCTATTAATATATTGTTGGAGATATACGGCTTAAGAGATATAAATGAACTTGATTATTTGAATATTAGTTAGTAAATAAGGACCAGAATAATTGACTTTTTATGTGGTACATAAAATATAAACAAATAGTTAAATGACTTAACATATGACTTTAAAACAAAAATTTTTAACGAAAAAAATATGTTTAATAGAGATCCAATAATGCTTATTTTATTTTTTAAAGGAAAAATGAATGAAAGACAATTTAACTCTAGCGTTTCAAAAAATTCTCGAAAGTAAAAACAAAAAAGAATGGGCAAACATAAAGATGAATTAAAATTTTAATTATTCAAAATATTTCATTTTACCTTTTCTATTTTTTGAGTATATTATATTTTTTAACATATGTTAAATTTTAATATGCCAAGATCGTAAGATTTTTCCGAATAATTAAACGCGGATAAAATTATCTTAATAGTGTCATTAAGATTGATCATTAAACAGTTATCTCTACATTCATTTTATAGTAATTTTGATTTTAGTCTTGCTATTCTTGTTTATTTATAGTTTTTTCAATATATGACTTATAGATTATAACTTTAACTTACTTTATTGGTACATGTTTTCACTGTTTTACTCTAGAATAACAAAAATTGTGGAATGTTTATGATCATGAAAAAATGTATAATCTGTTTAACGTTTTCAAATGTCTTAAGGTGTGAATAGATTCGAAATTATTTATTCGTGTAGAAGAAGGGTCAAGAATAAATAGTGTTAGAATAGAATTCATACAATTCGCGTATAGCTAAGATTTGATTTTAAATGAAAAATGTTGTGAAACTTTTCTTTATTATTAGTAAAAAAATTGTTGATATTATTCATTAAATATGATTTAATTTTTAACATCAAGTTTTTATTCCATAGAAATGACTATAAAATATGTTATTGTTTAAATTTGTCTTATAACTTAAAACGTTTTCTATGTTACATAGGCATACAATTAAATTTTGTAGACATCATTTTTAATATTCTCGGTACTCTTATTATTCATTAAATGTATTTATTTATTGTATTCACATATGAATGTATAATTTATATTTAATAACTTCATCTAAAATACTTTTTATTGATATCGGGACAAAAAATGTGAAAAGTTTGTCAACCATAATTAATTTCACCTGCCTTATCCAAAAAGTTTCCCCTTTCCAAAGTTTGTAAAAATGTTTATAGAAGCTTAATTCCATATTTATTCAAAATTAATTAATACTTTTAATTAATACAATGACCTTTATTAAATAACATTATTATTAGAAGTTTAAAAAGAAAAAAATGTTTCTTAAGCTATTAAAAACTTTATTGTTACACAATTTATTTATTGCTATACAAAAAAAAATATCGTTTAAAATTCAACAAAATTAGGAAATTTAGAGGCTATATTTTTATATATTAAAAAACTTTAATAATGTTGATCAATATTTTTGAATTTGAGTTTTGAACATGTGATTGTATATAAAATTTTTATTTTACTTAGTATATAATTGAAATATTTATGAAATGAAGATAGGTAGATAGGGCAATTTGAAATAATAGTATTTTTTTTTTTTTTAATTAATATTTAAAAAATAAATTAATATGATAAAAATAATATGGAATAAAATGTAATCTTCTTTTTATGTATAAAATGTATTATACTTAAGGTTATAATTAACAGAAAAGCAAATTTATCATTGGTAATTCAATATTTATATTATGTTCTATGTTTAAATTAATAATGTGTTACGAAAATATGATATTTCTTTTAAAAAATATTGATTTACACGAATTGTGGATCATTTTCTTTAGATATTTAATATTATTTTTAGCTAACAGTTTTTGTTCGTTGGAAATATAATATAACCTGAAATATGATAGTCAATGAAATAAAATAATTATTTATTTAGTTTTTTAATTATGAAAGATACTTTTAACATAAAGATACTTTTAACATAAAGATACTTTTATATAAATAGGAAATTGTAAAATAAGTGTTCAACAGAGCAATATATATATATATATGTTTACGGATGGGCGACTATATGAATTTAGCCATCCCCATTTTTTTAAGGTAATCCCTTAAAAAATATTGTATGAACAAAAAAATCTTTTAAAAATTGTTTAACCAACATAAGTTTTATCTAAATAATATTTTTTATCTTATTACTTCATGACACGGTTATTTACACTATTATCAAATAATTTGATAATATAATTATTATATTCAAACGAAATTATCAATTATTGTTAACTATCAAATAAAATAAAAAAAAATCTTTCATTTGTGTTTCATATAGTTAATAATTGAAGTAGGATTCAAAGTATTCCTAATAAAATCATAAAATTTTTAATGTGTGTTTTATAAAACTTGTTTTTAAATTTTTGAATAAGATCAATTATCAATTATCAATTATAATTATCTATTTTTTTTTAATTATTATTTATCACACATAAGTCATGATTAATTTTCACAAGTGCTATTGATATTATCTATTCTATTGAATTCTATTGATATATTTAACGACTTAATAGTAAAAAGGAATAATAATGTTTTTAATACTTTTTAGTAAAGCAGAAATTTTTTTTTGATCTACAGTTTTTGTTTTATTATAAATAGAATCTTATTTTATGTTCATTCTTTATACTTTATAAGAGTGTCGACTTTAGATTTTTTAATGTTTACATACATAATTAACTAGCTTATTTAATAGATTATGATCTAATTAAGAAAATGACTTATTGATAACAACTTTTAGGCCAGTACTTCAGATGTTATTAACATTTTAGACCTAGGTGAGAGGAGTAAAATAGAGGACTTTTTAATAATAAATATAGTAGCATTCGCACCTCGCCTCTAGTTTTTACTATAATTTGTTATTAGTATCTAAAATACAAAGTTTTTTTTAACCAGTCATTTTCTTAATTAGATCGTCTATTAAATGAATAGCTAATTACGTTTGTTTCCACTTGAAAAAATAAAGTTTAAACCCTTATAAAGTATAAACGATTAACATAAAAAATACTTCATAATTGATAAAATGAGAAGAATATATATTGTAAAGAAACTAATAAAAATGATAATTTTCAAAGAATTATTCTGTATTATTTAATAGTTTTAATACTAAAACATAATTATTAATCGTACTTTAAAGAGAAATATTTATTATATTCCTGAATAATTGTTATTTTTTATAAATATTTTGAGTATCGATTATATTATATTTTGTAATAACTTATTGTATACAAAAAATTATTGATAGATTTTCATTTTTAAAAATTTCAATAAATTAACAATTTGATAATTTTTAATGAGTGTAATCAAAAACATTTTTATTATATAAAATTTATATTTGACATTTTATTAATTTTGGTTTATTTTTTAAAATAAATTGGTGCATTGATGAAAGTGACAGCACAAGAAATTTTCATTTTACAGAATCTACTATGCTAATATTTAAAAAGTTATAGTTGTAATCTTGCCAAGGAATAGACATTATTATTATAAAAAATTAGATTTCTTCTAAACTACAGTAAAATTATATTATTGGGTACTATTATGGGTTCGCTTTAAATGTCACAACTTACTAATGTAAGTCGTAACATATACAATGCGTACAAGTAACAAATAATTCAATGTTCAGAAAGTGTCGCTACTCATTACCTGCCTGTTGCCATGTAAACGTCACATATTAAATTTATTTAGTTATAAATGCTATACCATTGCCAACTTTCATTACAATTTGAACAAAGAAAATACCGAATTGCAAGTAAATGTGGGGAAATTTAGCTTTTGATACTATTGAGCTTTTTAAAATAAAATTATTATAATTTATGGCGTTTGAAATCACATATTTTATAAATACTTGATACTAAATATTAAAATTTTGTTCTCGGAATTTAACACATAATAAATATTATAATAATATATGTATTGCTTTATAGCGATTATAACTGCTGAGGCATAGAATATTGAAATGTAGACCTTTTCATACTTAGGGGTCTTAAAATTTTGATGTTAACTACTGTTTCAAAAACTTTTTCATAATGAAAAAAATGCAAATTCATATTATATTATATGCAATATTTATTAATTAGTCATTTTCTATTCATTTATTAATTAATGGCAACGCGAAACTTCCCAAGGGATGGCATTGCATCTTCGACAACTTTAGACATTTTTAAAGGTTTTTATTTGAGTGAGATCTAGTACCTAACAGAGGAATATTATTATCACATTTTATAGTTATAAAATATATAATTTTTATTTACAGGTGTTGAGCAACATTCGGAAATAATTGATTCTACTTTAGTCAATCAGGTAATCGAATATATTATATAATGGTGCCTAATTAAAATACATTTATTCATTAATAATTTTCATAACTATGGTTCAGATTTTATCTATCACACCTAGTTTTTGAAATAATTATTAATTACTAATTGAGAAATAACTACAAAGTTCATTTAATAGTATTTAATAAGAGTTGTGCAAAATTTGGAGCTATTCCATCAAATTTAACCGTTTTTTTTTTTTTAGAGTTGAGTTTAATTGTAATTTAAAAAAAAAGCTAATTTTTTGAATATAAGATTTTTTAAATTTAACTTAAATCCGAAAATGCGTTTTTATGGATTTATTAATTAAAAAAAGTAGNAACCGTTTTTTTTTTTTAGAGTTGAGTTTAATTGTAATTTAAAAAAAAAGCTAATTTTTTGAATATAAGATTTTTTAAATTTAACTTAAATCCGAAAATGCGTTTTTATGGATTTATTAATTAAAAAAAGTAGGGAGCGAACTAAACACTCATATTAATTGAAAAAACACATTCACGTTTAGGTACCTTCCAAGCAATTTAAAACACAACAGACAACATCAAATTGAAGTTATTAATATAATAATGATATTATATATATATATACGTAATTATGAATAAGTCGGATTATAAAAGTGTAATAAAGAAAGGAGAGCAGGTAATACACTCACTAGTGTGATTGAACAAAAAGTAAAATTAGATCATCCTTTTTATATTATACGGGCATCTCAAATGGACTAGCTAGATTTTTTAAGATATCAGTGATGTCACTTTAGTAACCATCTAAGAGCAATAATTGAAAGATTTATTAGGAAACTTTAAAGGTAAAGTAAAAGAAGGTGTAATATTGGACATAATATAACGTGAAATTTGTAATAAATGTTACATAGGACAAACAAAAAGAAACATAGTGGTCAGATTTAAAAAACACTTAAGAATCATTAAAAATCAAGAAGTTGATAAATCTCCAGTTGCTCGACATTTAATGACACATAATCACTCCATTAAATTTTTTTATCCATTTAATCATAAAACTTTTTAATGACGTAAATAATTGCAAATAGCTTATTTTAAGGGAGGCAATAGAAATGTGTAAAAATAAGAATAATATCATTAATTGGGATTTTGGCCCACCGCCAAATTCATTATTAAACTATTGTAAACAGCCAAAATATGACATTCGGCTAGATGATAACATCACTACCCCAACAACAAAACCAGTTAGGGCAGGTCGTGTTTATGAGGATGGCAACCGATAACTCAACAACAACACAACACCCACTCTAACCGCGCCAAATCACTTTGGCACTATTGTAAAATCTGTTAGTGAACATTATTTCCGAAATTAGTATACTTATATTAGTTAGCAGTTTTTGTGGGTTTTTGATGTAAATATGTTTTATATTTTTAGTTTTTAATTAATATTTTAAGTGTATTTTCAATTTTAAATAATAATTTTGATTTCACGTGTTGAGAGAGAGAGTTATTGTTGAAGGTTAAGGGGCTCAGCCTCCCCAGTTTATAATTTATTTAGCCCTTTCAAAAGTTTAGAAAATTATATAAATTGTTTTTTAATTAAATGAAGTTATTTTTTGGAAGTGGATAACAATCCTATGTTTAACCGACTTCATAATGCGTGCATTAAATCTTTTCTACACAACAGGTGTGTGATTTATGTTGTCACTGTTGTGTTGTTAATATTTAACTTAATACTATAAACTGAAATATACAAACTAAAAATTTTATAAATATTAAAATGCTGTAGAAATTTAACTAGTGTACATTAATAAAATATTTTTTTATGAATTAATTAGAATCTGATGATGAGAAACTGAGAAAAAATTAATTTTACTATGATGTGTTAATTTATTAATTAATTTTATGTGTCTGTCGTCATTTTTTCAGCATTTATCGAACCAATTTTTTCAACAATAAAAAATGTAAAAAAATACAAATTCCATCTAGTTTAAGACACTACTCATAAAAATTAAAATAAGTTCCCTTATTTCCCATACATAGGGTTATTCTCCCAAGAAATTATGATTTTTAATCTGTATAATTCAACATTTTTTCTTAAAACTGCCATAAAATATAAAAATGGATGATTTAAAGTATATTATTTCATAAAATATATTAGGTGTTACTAATTACAATTTTTGTTTTAAATCAGACCCTTTACCTGTCCAAAAGTGGCATTCGAAATAGAATCTTTGCACAAAAAGTTAATATATTTAACTTAACTTTTTAAAATGTTCCGGAAATACTGAGTCTTTTAAACATATGTTAAATTAAATTTATAAATACGTACTATAAGTTAAAAAAAATATATTTTTCTGACAATTGTCTTCTAAATGTAAAAATACCCCGAATTTAAACAAAACATTATAATTTTGTATAAAAATCACTATTTTTCGTTTTTTTTATAGTTTTTAGTTAATTTTTTTAAAAATTATTTATGTCTACACTATAGGTTAAATAGTACTGATTTTTTTAAGAAATAAGTACCCTCATTTTAACCCTTTTACAAAAAACAATAAATATAATTAAGATTTAAATATTAATAATCATAAATTATGTATTTTAAAACTGAAATTTTAATTAATTGACAAATATCAGAATTATTTAACTTTTTTATAATTCCTTTGTAAAAATTACAAAACTTATTTATTGTGACATGGTCCTGTGTTGCTTCGTGATACACGGAGCCCCGCGACATCTTTGTCACCCAATGACGGATATATGGTAATTTGACTGACCAACATAATAAAGGATCTACCGGACTTAACCATCTAAATCAGTTTCTCGACTACATAATTGTGACGTAGTCGTGTCAATTTAATATAAATTTCATAATAAATATAATTATCTAGAAATTAGGAGTTAATGTTGTCTTTAGAATAATCCAAGAATTTCTTCTTCAATTAAAATTAAATACTATCTGCAGATTTGTACGATAGTGATTTTTATCACTGTCGGATATCATTTATACTTTTCCTTCCCACTGTGCTAACGTTATTGATTTTTTTAAATCTGCTTTACAAAATAGCTTTCTTGAATTATTTGTTTACATTTTTTTGAAAATTAAATTAAAATTATTTGTTTAAAATAAATAAATACTACAAATTATGATATTACAGTCCAAAAGTATAACAGTACTTTGCTATCCACTTCAATCATTATTCAGAACGCGTGGAATATCGATGGTAAACCTGAACCAGGAAGTTAATATTTTAAGTACGAAGAGATTATACTTCACAAACATTTTCAATTATTCACAAATGAGAATTATGAGATGGTAATCTACTTAATAATTAATCCCCTTTTTGGGATTTCAATATTTAAATTAATATTTCTATCTATGCAACAACAGATTTTAAGGTAACTTCCAAAACATGAAAACTTAATTTACAAAATTTATTTACAAAGAACCCTAATATTGTTTATGTCATCTATCATTACTTTATATACTCATACTGATTTTGTTTAATCAGTGCAATTATTTTCAAACATTAAAATTTGACTTATCATTTTCTCTGTTAATCTATTATTAGTTATTTTCACTATTTCTTTTGGTTCATTTCTTTCATGAAGAAAGAATATATGAAATTTATAAAAAAAAAATATATGTATTATACTTTTTCTTATGTAATTATTAGAGTATAATTTGTACACTTAAACAAAAATACAAGTTCTCTACTTGAAATTGAACCTTCTTTAAAAATTATACAGTTTTTGTTAACTTCAAAAAATAACATTTTATTCTACTCTTATGCTTTTTAAATTCTTACTAAAACACTGTCAATGCTTTTTATTGACGTTTTTAACAAGGATTTTCATCTTCTTAAGAATTTCTTACATTTTTCATTTTTTTGGATTCTGAGTTTAATAAAAGTAACATTTGTTCATAAGCTTTTTATATTTTTCAGTGATTTTTATTAATTTAATACTTATTTTATGCATTAATTATTTTTATTTTTAGAATAATTTTTATATTTTTATGAGTTTAACCACTGGGCATTTAAAAAATAATATCTTTGCACTTTTAAAATAACATAATCAAAGTATTTATCAATACTTTTTTTTTAATAAAATAAATGTAATAAGTGGTACAACACATTTCATTTACTATCTAAGGTTTAATTAATACGGGTCTTAGATAAGCAGTTTCCGTTTGAAAATTTCAAACATTATGTATGTCGTTTCGTAAAAATATTTCTAAAAGTAGCCAAAATTCAAATAAAATCTTCCCTTGAAATTGATCCGCATCAAGTAATAATAACTATTATTATTGAAAAAATATCGTATAAACAACATATTGATCATCACTAACCTAAAGAGTTATAACCAGTTCTAATATTTGTCATTCAAAACAAAAGTTTTAATTTTTTATAAATTAATAAAAGGTATTTTTGACATTTTAAAGCATCTGATTTAAGTTAAAATAATTAACAAATACATTTTTCTCTTTAATAATTAGCTAGTATAAAATTATCGAAATTCTTTTAATAAATTTTACTTAAATATAAATTTTTTTAGAAAATTAACCTTGCTTTGAGATTAACTACTAACAACTACATTTGTATAAAAATATTTTAACAAACAAACAGTTTTATAAAAATAATCGAACTAAAATATATTTTATTTTATACTTATCTAGATCTGGAGTCTTAATATTAATTTGGTAATATCATATAAATTATATGTAGATAATTAATTGATTTATTTCTGGATAAATAAAATAAAAATAATATCTTTGAAAAACATATTTGTATGCAGGACATTTAGAAACCTATATTAGTCATTATTTTATAATGTAAAGAAACTTATATTAAAAATATATTAATTTAAAACTAAAAAAATATTAAACTCAAAAAGCCAAAAAAAAAAAAATTACTAAAAATTTGTAGATACATATTTTGGAAACAGTGTTACCATTATCAACGGTAAACATATATTGACACCCTCGGAGAAAAACCGCCTCATATAGTAAGGGGGTACTAAATTTTGATATATATCGGAAAAACTTACACACGTTCAGGTACATTCCGAACAATTCGAACCACAGCTGGCAACATAAAATGGCAGCTTTTAATACTATGGTTTACAGCTTATAATCCGATGAATGAAATATATTTTGATAAATAACTAAGACTTATAAGAGAAATAGCTATATTTAATGGGTACATCGAAAACGTAATTTTGAATAAGTCCGATTATAAAAATGTAATAAAACTTTTTAATAACGTAAATAATTACAAATATCTTATTTTAAGGGAGGCAATAGAAATTTTTAAAAATAAGAATAATTTTATTAATTGGGTTCTTAGTTTACTGGAAAATTCATTATTAAACTTGTTTAAACTGACAAGGTGTGATAATATTATTTAGTGATAACGTCACTAGGTGGTGATAAGGTTACTCCGTGTATATAAGGTGTTTTTTTCCGGTCGAGGTGTTAGTATGCGTTTACCATTGACAATGGTAATATTGTTTTGGCCAAATAATACGTAAGTACTTTATTTTTGTTAAAAAAAAAATTAAAATTTTTTTTTATACTATAATAGATTTGAATGTTAGGTTTAAATTATTTAAATTATTTATATCGTGAATATGAATTTAATCAAATATATTATGATCATAATAATATTATTCTACTCAAAACCAATAATTGTATAAAGTCTATTTATTTTTCAATTATTACTGAAAATAAAGATTTCTTTTTTAATTGCAACAAATTTTTAAATCTTTATCTCTGTATAAACCCATAAATGGATTTAGAAAAAAAATTGAGTGGGCTTATGATAATTTCTCACAGTTTTTATAAAATATTATGTATAATTTATTAATTTTTAAGGGGATTAGTCCCCAAAGTCCAAACCTAATTCCGTCTATAATAAAATCAAATTATGATTAAAGTATATGGTTTTTAATTTCTGTAAGGATAATAAGTAAAATACCTGTAGATTTATGAAATCACATTTCACACTGTTAAAATATTTATTTTCTTTTATGCATTTTTAGTATTATTAATTTTTAATAAATAGGTAAATAATACTTGACTGATAACAATAATATTAAAGAATATTATAAACAATACGCTTTTCATCATCAAAGGTTGTTTTAAAATAGTTGATCCAAACAGATATAAAGTAGTGACCTATATATTATATTCATGTATCCCATTTTACTGTGTTATTGTATTGTGGTCCTTATTTGGTCACGTTTTATGGACTTACAATCAATAAATAATAATTCAGCAGTACGAGTTTAGGTTTTCAATAGAATATATACTTGTAATGTTTTTGAAGTTTATTTGCTCATGATTAGCAATCAATATTTAGTAAAAATGTCCAACTTGGTAATAAAATTATTTTTAAATACACAGTTTGTTTAAATGGATATAATGGTTGCGAAAATTAGAAAGTGTTTCCGTATTGAATTAATAAACTTCATTTGCATTTTAACACAGGGACATTTAGCAGTGAAAATTTTGCATCATCACAGTTGTAAAACGGTATGAACAATAAACATTTACTACAACATCAACTAATTTTAGATGACGTAATTTTAGCAAAAACACATTGCCATAAGTATTAATCATAATAGTAATAATATATACACAAAAGCCACATTATTCTAACTACGAGATTAATTTTTTCGTTGTTTTTCATTACAACTCTTTACAACAATGTTATAACAGTTACTCGGTTTTATTATTTATTTATTTAAAAACCATTAAAATTATCACTAAATTCTATCGAAAAAATATTATATACGAAAAGAAATATAACATATTATTTAAGTATTAACTCTACTTAATTTCACTTAAACATTTTTTTTCAGTTATAAAATATTTAATGGTGTTAACGAATGTAAAATTTATAAATAATATTTATATAGAAGTAAGTAGATACGCAGTATGTATTTTTAACATTATTCTTACCAATTGAGTGACACATGTATTAAAAAAATTTGCGGTTAAGTAATTTTTAAGGTTCTTCAATAATTAATTTATATTAAACAAATATTTATTTTAAAGACTTTTAGGTAACCGATTTTAGATGTTTTTTTAGGTTATTGTCGTTTAAATAATTATAAATTAAAAATCAATGATATTATTTTTCTTATCAATTCTTAATTTCTGATTAGACGGCGTTTTAAGTAGGCAATTGTACTACATTGTAGTGAACGTATTTTCAATTATTACTAAAGAGTTATGAGTTTTAATATTGTTATTAATTTCAACACTGGAATACTTTCAATTTATTAGGTTATTCTGAATTGTTGAATTTATAGGCAGCTAATTTTATAAAAGTAGCTGGTAAAATAAGCTACACGTAGCTTACTTTTTGCTATCTATAAAGAAAATGAAACTCTTTGATATTTTATTTTTCTATGGTATTGAACAAGTATAATGTATACTATATAGATATAATATATTACGAAGAAATTGATATATATGGTCAAACAAAAATCTATGGAATTATTGTTATTATAAGTTTCGTAGAAAAATAAATACTAGAAAAATTATTTTATGTTGTTGCTTTTTACTCAAAGGACATTTTATGTAATATTTTATATACATATATATATATATATATTTTAAAGTGTATACAATTAACTTTTGTAAATTTAAATACAGCTATGTGTGTACTGAATATTAAAAAAGTAATATTTTACCAGTATAATTTATTATTTGTGATTTATATCATAATAGATGTTTATCCCCAAATTTAAAAAATTGAATTCTGCTCACTTATAAAACTCACAATAATTTATTAACATGTTAAGAATAATTTAATTTGGAATATTATTATTAATTTTATTTTATTGTATAAAACAAAAAAGTGGTTAATTGATATATATCAGAAAAAAATTTTTAAACAAATATTAAAGCTCTTGTCTAATGTTCAAAATTTTTAAAGAAATTATTTTAAAACAAAGTAGTGTATNTTAAACAAATATTAAAGCTCTTGTCTAATGTTCAAAATTTTTAAAGAAATTATTTTAAAACAAAGTAGTGTATTTTATGTATGTAATTGATGAATTGAAATTAATAACGTGTTACATTGTAAAAAATAATTCAAAAATTCCTATATGTCAGATTACGAATTTAATATACACGTTATTTACACAAGTAGTGCAATTTTGAATAAAGTATCGAAAATTCGTATACAAATATAACATTTTTATTAATACATTTTATGCGTGAAAAACTTTTAATACATGTATGCAAAAATTTGGACATTTTTTTAAGAGTTTATGTGCCGTAAAAATTATTTTGAGTAATTTATCATTTTATGAAAATTGAAAATAAAAATCTAAAATCCTTAAAATTTAAGAATAAGTTATTTAATAACTTATTCTTATAAAAATATTCATAAAAATTGTACATTTAGACCCTATATTTATCATTTTATTTCTCTATGTATTTTATTGTTTATTTTCTATTTATATAAAAAAACATATTATATTCCTATTTATTTCCCCCCCATCACCTATCGACACTCAGTCCGTTTTATGTTTTTGGTACATGACATGTTATTGATTTTAATTTCTCAATTATGCTGTAGAGATAGTTATGTTGAATTTTAAACATGATCATATTATAGTATGAACTAATTTGAAAGTTTAAAACAAATTTTATTTTCAGAAATTCCAGTGGCCATTACAAAAATGTTTGGAAAGTGGCGACTTATTGATCGTCCAGCTTTTGGGGCACCAGAGACATCAAAGCGACAAGACACTTGGCTATTATACGTTATCAATGGATAGGGTTGTAACAGAACGACGAGTTCATTTTATAGATTCTTTTTCGGACATAAACGATCGTTCACTGCCAGTAAGTCAATAACAACATCAATTTTATAACATAACAAATTTATGACTGTAAATGGCGTTTTACTTTATTTAATATTATTGTTTTTGAAAATTAGTGCTAGTATTATTGTTAATATTAACAGGTTATTATTTAAGGTTAAAAATTATATTTTCAAAAATATTTTACTAAATTATCTACTAAAAAAGTTCTGGCTCTTAAAAAATAAAAACTTTTAACTTATAGAAGTGAACTTTTTTTTTATCGTAAAACCTGCTATATATTTTTCGACGATGTAAATGTTCCATTGCTATTCAAAATACTCAAAAATCGGCTATTTTTGTGGAAAACCGTATGATGTTTGAATTTAATGTCTGATAACTTTTTGAAATTAAGTTTTCGGATATTTTATATTTATTTTGATGTATATTAAATTCGTTTTAACTTGATGTAGGTTTAAAGAAGTCGAGTTTTTGTAAACATTATCAAAAATTGAAAGAAAAAAAATGTTTGATGTGATTTTGATTAATGATTAGATTTTTAAAAAAGTATTTCTTTTTAGCAAGAATAACCTTAAAGTATTATTAATAAAAATTTCGTGTAGATCCATTCAGTTTTCTAAAAGTTATTTCAATATAAAATGATAACATCAACATCGATTGCTTTATAATAATTGAATTTTTTTAAATATTTTCCTTTATTATGGGGATTCAGGAAAAATGTTAAAATTATAATGTTTTTAAGAGTCATCTACATACCATTTATGATTTTATCTTATCTGGCGTATCGTCAGTAAAAGATAATAAACTTGCATGACTAAAACAAAGAAAAACAGAATAAAACCAATAATTTCTTAGCTATGTATCGATTAGTGAAAAAAAATTAGCTATTGATGAATTAAATTTTATATTCGATTCACAAAATGGTAGCTTTTTTACACAAACAAAAATAACTATCAATAGTACTTTAATTCTATAGGAAGACTAAATAAAACTATATAGATGCAAAAGTGCTAATTCACAAATTTAAGTAAAATAGTTAATACAAAAATTTGTTCCAACATTATTTTTAATATTAGATTATATGTTTCAGTAATCTTATAACAAATTAAAGTTTTAAAAGCGGAATAAATAAAATATTTTTGTAAAAACATATTATTAGAATTCTTTGAATTTTAAAAAATAATTAAAAATACCTGTCGTTTGTAAAACATAAAATGTTAAAAGAAAGTTGAGCAATCTTAATGGATTTTTCTCTTATAATGTAATTAAGTATATTAAGTAATTTTTTCAACATAAAATGGATGACATTTTTCCTTTTTGAGCTTAAAATAATATATAACACTATCAGATTTATTATGTTAGCCCTGATATTACATTTCTTCGGGAATAAATAAAAAACTTTTTTAATATTTTAAATAAAAAAGTTTCTTACATAATTTTACTTAACTAAATTCATATATCAATCTTAATAAAATATAAAAATAATGTACATCTTGAATCACACTAACAAGTTTTTAATTTTTCATGAGAAATACAATTTTTTTCAATGTGTATTTTGAATAATAATATTAATAAGTTTATGAAAATATATATGGAAAAATTTACAGTAAAATAATTTTATTGTTTTTATTAAATCTTTAATCAATTTCCCTTGTATAAGACACGTAGTAGTAATGTATTCATATGGCGATGTAACTTATTTGAAATAAAATTTTTCAATGTTGATTGAAAATTGAAATGTAACACATGTTTATTTAATATGTAAATTGCTGCTCGAGTACATTTAATACGTATACGAATTATTACTTGTAGTAACTCATAAAGAGAGAATAAAATAAATAAAATATGAAGGGGTTGGGTGCTTCTTTATTGTATTAAAAATATTATGACTCGGGGTATGAGTACGAGGGTCTGTATGAAAGATGGAGGATGATAGAAAAATAAAGTGATCGTTATTCTATTAATATGGGATTTATTGTGATTAATTGTCAATTCGTTAATATCAATAATGCCACGAGCTTGGACGGTTATCTATGATAGGTGGGATTGATTCACCTCGTGTGTTTACCCAGAGTGGTATGGTGGCTATACATATAAACCTCCAACCTAACTCCTGAAATAGACACGTATCAAAGACATAACTCTGTGCTAACGATTTATCGATTTTTTAAATTTACTTGGTATATTTCTAATTATTGATTGTCACTTGATTTTCCTGTATGCCTACTTAATCTATGTTCTCATAAAATTTAATTCTAAATCTTATATATTTTTGGTGAAATTATTAGCTTCCTACCTTGATATTTGTAATGACACGCTGAAATTAATAAATATTGTGTTTTTATAAAAATATAATTGTTGAAACGGCGGATCACTTCTCGTATATATTTCATTGTGAAGGTGTGGAATGATTGAGCGCAGTGAGTGCTTCTGTGAATATCTGACCGCATCTGAACAAGTGAGAACATTCTGACCACCATTAGAGTGATATCTGAGCCAGAATGCTCATTATTTTAGGCTTTTTATATTAAATTTCATAGTTAGTTTAAAGACAAAAAGTGATCACCGACGGTACCATTATTTCTTTATTAATCGTAATTTATTACATGTTATTTATTACATTTTCGTCAATAATGATCTACATTTCATAATGTTCTACCGTTTGTTCAATAAAATCGTACACATTATTTATTACCTTATGTCTAATACATTATTATTACATATTGTTTATTATCTCCTGTTTCTTTTATATAATTAATATACGTTTTTTTCTACGAAATTTCATTATTATATTTAAATATTTAAAAGGTATATATATATATATATATTAGGGTGGTCCAATTCTTATGGGTAAAAAAAAAAGTTTTTTTTTCTGAGCTCCACAACCATATTTTTGTTTCTTAGTCAAAAATAAATGTTCACGCCATAAACTAGCCCATTCTAAACATATTTAGAGGTCGCTAGGATTTGTAAGTAAGAAGTAATAGGAATTTATCAATGGTTTTTATTCTAGCGTAATCATTAACCGCCGATAACGAACAGATAATAGCTGTGCATAATAACCATGAGTATTTTACATTGTCCGTCAAAAATGAATTGTATTTTCCTTTACTATCTTATTTTATTTACATTATTGGTTGTCCAGTTAAAACTGAAATGGTGCGACATGAGTTAACATTTCAAACCATTTATCGACATTTTATTTTGAACTGTTGTTGAGTCAACATCGCTTGTTATAAACACGTGAGTATTTGAAACGTTACCTGCGGTTATTAATTAATTTAAAATACATATATTAATGATTGTACTTTTTTANTATATCTTATTTTTCTATTAGTATACATACTATTTTGTGTGATTTATTAATTGAAGCCTTAAATAGTACATTATAAAATTAATGATATACTGTGTTATCTTGACATACTTAACTGTTGAAGAATATTTAAATTATGGAATTTAGACTCACCGTAATTTTATTATACAGGGTGTTCAGTAAGTCAGGAAACGGGTTTCTATTGTTCTCATTGTTTGTAACAATGAGAACAATAGAAAC